AAAGTGGTTTAAAAAATAAATGTCAAGAATTTTGTATACTCAGTGTATTTTTTACCTTTACAAACTCTTACCACAGTCTCTCATTTTTTACAGAGGAATGTGCATAAATAACTATTTTTCTCATTCTTATTCAAACCAGAGAATAGGCCAGTGATTCGATCTATGACCATTCTTCAATTAAATAAAATTTTGTGTAATAACCCAAAATCTGGTGCTTGGAATTCAAAACATCATCAGTGAGAGATAAAAATCCCTGCATGGATATAGATTGATGATTTCCAGCCCTGGGAGTTGGCACAGATCTTCTCTAACTCTGACGTTTTGTGCATCTGCTAGGTGACTCTTGCCCGTTGGATGGTAAGCTTCTCAGTAGAGAGTTCTTTTCTCACATATTTCCAAGTGAAGACAATTTGGTCAAATACTCATTAGAGGACAACTGATTGGCCAGCCAAAGCTGGGGGAAAATAGTTCCTAGAGCCAGCTTGGATAAGCAGCAGATGGAAACGTTGTGATGGGCTGGAGGGGCAGAGCTCTGAGTTGCCAGAATTTCCTCTGTCTTCCATTGTAACTTTTCTATTTTCTTTACACTTGACAATACGTTTTCAAGGATGATTTAAATATTTCATTCCCCATCCCAAAGCTTTTGGGTAATTTATGTCTTCAAATTATACAATTCGAAGTACTGCTCTCCTCCCCTTGGAGGTGTCCTGGAGAGAAACAAGAGAAGGACACTAAACAAACAAACGAGTACTTTCCCTTGGCACACAGCACACCCAGGTCAGAGAATTCTCCTGCAGGCTGGCCAGGTTAATTTTGGACAGGTGAAGACTCGAGCAGCGAGGCGGTGAAATCCCAACCATGTTTGTGAAGCATTTTGTGACCTTCCTAAATATTCCTGCCTCATGAAGCCCTGTTATCAGAAGATGTGGAAATTTTTGCTGCTTCAGGCTGTAGCTGTTTTCAATAAATTGAATTAGTGCTGTTTCCATGTTTAACCTTAGAAAACTACAGACGGGTTAATTCTTTATGATTTCACTATGTTGGTTTTGTAATCTAATCCTACCCAGAGTTTCAAGCAACTGTTTGATTCATTTCAATTCAGCAAACATTTCTTGGGTTCATTTCTCTCTCATGGAAAGAAAATTAATTAAATATATGTATTTACTTTATTGACAAGAATTTATATAGCATTTGCTATATGCAAGGAACTGTTAAAAGTGCTTTACAAATATTAACTCATTTAATTTGTAACAACTTTATGAGGTAAGTACTAGTATCAGTCCTATGAGACAACTAAGGCACAGAGAGGTTAAGTAACTTGCTCAAGGTTGCACAGTTAGCAAATGACAAAGCTAGGATTTAAACTCAGACAATCTGGCCCTAGAGTTTGCTCTCTTCCCCTATTCCATTTAGTTTTCAGTCTTATCCATTCCTGACTTCATTGGGAGATCACTTGCTCTTTCCTAAGCAATCCCTAGCAGAAAACAGACCACAGATCCAATGGCTTCTCTAAGTGGTGTGAGTTTTCACAGGTAATACAGTATTTTTGTTTTGGTGATTGACAGCATGCCTAGTGTGATAGACAGAATGAGTAATTTCCCCTTTGAGGGTTGAATACCCGCAAAGTTTGGGCTGCCTGGGTACGGCCTGAGTAGTATAGATATAGAGAGACTTTCTAGGAAACTGGAATAATTCAGTACCTCTCCAAGGCAGAAATACTCTCTTCCAGCTCTACAAGTCAGTCCACAGTCTGACTATTCCAGTCTCTTCAAATAGTCAGAACTCAGGGAGAATTTGAAATTGCAATTTGCAGTTGTTTTACCCCATCCCATTTACCTTACTGTGATACCAATTTTTTTAAACTATCTTTCTGTGATACCAATTTTTTAAAACTGTCTTTCCTCACCAACTGTTTGTTTTTTAAAAACATATGAAGCTTCTATAAGGCATTTTCTTTGTGTAGAAAAATGCACTAAATATTAGGGTTGGAAACAGGGAGAATGAGAGGATTGATTTAAAAAATTAAACAATTTCTGAAAAAATACCAGAGTAGACTAGGGTGCAGACTCTTGTACTAAAACACTGTATTAGTTTGCTAGGGCTGTTGTAACAAAATACTACAGACGGAATAGCTTAAACAACAAAAGTTTATTTTTTCACAGTTCTGGAGATCACCAAGATCAAGGTGTCAGCAGATTTAGTTTCCTCTGAGGCCTCTCTCCTTGGCCTGCAGATGGCCACCTTCTCCCTCTGTCCTCACATGGTCTTTTCTCTATGCATTCACACCCCTGGTGTCTTTTTTTGTGTTTTTGAATTTCCTCTTCTTATAAGGACACCAGTCAGATTGGATTAGGGCCCACCTTAATGGCCTCGTTTTGACTTCATCACCTCTTTAAAGGCCCTATTTCCAAATACAGTCACATTCTGAGGTTAGAGGCTAGGGCTTAGGACTTCAACACATGAATTTTGTAGGGACACAATTTAGTCCATAACAGACATCTAGGGATGCTGGGTGAAATATAATTTTGTTAAATGTATGTTCGAACTTAGAAGAAAGGTATAGAAATTCTGGTGAGCCAGAGATAGAGAGGGAGCTAAAAGCTAGAGGAATTGTCTTCCATTTAAGCCATGGCTGATTGGGTTACAAAGTGTGGAGGGAAGAATAAAGCTTAGGTTTGAATGTCTTCCCAGGGATAGAAGGCGAGATATGTGACCCAAAGAGATCCCACAGAAGGTGGGAAATGCGTACTGAGATTACTGACACAAGATGGGAACCTTGAAGGACTGCTACCCCAAGAAAAGGGGGCTAAATGGATTCACCACTTGGCTTGGGAGAAATGCAAGATGTTTATTTCTTTTCTGGTTTTGAGTAGATTAAAAGAAATGTTCCCATTTGCCTTTAATGGGATTGAAGCCCAAATTTATCCTACCTAAGTAGTACTTCAAATGCTAGGCGGAAAAATTAATAAAAAAGTTGTTCCCATGTGGATGATATTCGTGGGGTGAAAGCAGGCAGAAAATACCAAACTGTCTGGGTGCAACACTTCAACTACCCAGACTCCCTTAGGAAAGGGAGTCAAGATTCCCTTAGGAAAAACAATCCTTGCTTAAAATGACTTCCCAATAAAAAGTCCCAAAACACACTGGGAAATTATCTACCATAAACACAAGGCAGCAGATAATTAATTTGTAAGGCTGGCTAAAGGATTAGCAACCACAAAACTTGAGATAAGAGACAAATTGTCTGAAAGAGACATTCACAAAAGTATAGCTAAAATTATTAAAGAGATTAAACAAAGATTTAGAAGCCAAAAGGAAAGAGTAAGATGTCATTTAAAAGAATAAGGGAAATACGAAAAATATAACAAATAAGATTTCTATATATTGAAGATTTTTCACTGAATTTAAAACAAAATATACTGGGTAAGTAGCAGATTACACACAGCTGAAGAAATTTAATGAACTAGAAAACAGAGCTGAGAAAATTAACAAGACTAAAACACTGAGTGAAAGAAATGAAAATGTGAATGACAGGGTAAGAGTCATGGAGGATAGAATAAGAAAATCCAAAGTAAAGCTAATAGGATTTCTGAGAAAAATAGAGAGAATAGAGAATGGGCAACATTCAAAGAAATCATGGTTGAGAATTTTCCAGGTTTGATTAGCAAGATGAATCCTCGTTTTGAAAAACCCCATGGGTCTTGAGTAGGAAAACAAAAAATAAATCTGCATATAAACATATTGTAGTGAAATTGCAAAACAACAAAGACAAAGAAAAAGGTCTTAATAGCAACAAGAGAGGAAAGATTGATATGTTACAAAGAATAAAATCAATTAGCAGAATTCACAATAAAATCATTAGTGATCAGAAAAGAGTGAAATAATACCTTCAAAACATGTTACCAGTAATAGTCATTCTAGAATTCTCTATTTAGATAAATTATTATTTAAATGAGAACAAAATAAAGACATTTGCAGAAAAACAAAAACTGAGAGAACTGATTACTCAGACTCTCATCAAATGAATTACCTTAAAAAGAAGGAAACTTTAAGAAGGAATGGGGTGCAAGAAGTAATGGTGAGCAAAGAAATTAACAAATATGTATGTAAATCTAAATGAAGATTAAATGCAAAACTTAATAATAACAACAATAATTAATACGGGTGAAGGATTAAAAGCAAGGTAGAACTAAAATTCTAGAAAATAATAACATTGTAAAGTGGGAAGGGATAATCAGTTTTCTAAGATCATTATGTTTTTCAAGAGAAGGATAGAAACATTAATGTTAGATTGTTCACTTAAGTATGTTTGTTAAATTTTGAAGGATAAGGACTAAAATAGAAATAGAATATATCACTTCCAGATCAGTGGAAGGAAAAGAGGGAAATAAAGCAAACTTGATCAGTATAAAAGAAGGCATAAAACAATAAGATAGAAAAAGTATGACAAATAGAAGACACAAATAACATGGTGATAATAAGTCCAAATTTATTGATACAATGCATATAAACAAATTGAAAGACAATTAAGAAACAACCTGATAAAAAAAAATGGGTCAAAGACCTTAACAGACACCTGATCAAAGAAGATATACAGAGGAGAAGTAAGCATGTGAAGAGATGCTACACATCATATGTCATAAGGGAAATGCAAATTAAAACAACGATAAAATACCACTGTACATCTATTAGAATGGCCGAAATTCTGAACATGGACAACACCAATTGCTGGGGAGGATGCAGAGCAAGAGGAACTCTCATTCATTGGTGGTGGGAGTGCAAAATGGTACAGCAACTTTGGAAGATGGTCTGGTATTTCTTACAAAACTAGACTTACTCTTACCATATGATCCAGCAATTGTACTCTTTGGTATTTACCCAAAGAAACTGAAAACTTATGTTTGCACAAAAACCTGCACATGGATGTTTATAGCAGCTCTATTCATAATTGCCCAAACTTAGAAGCAACCAAGATGTCCTTCAGGTGAATGGAGAAATAAGCTGTGGTACGTCCAGACAGTGGAATATTATCTAGCACTATAAAGAAATGAGCTATTAAGCCATAAAGAGACGTGGAGGAACCTTAGATGCATATTACTAACTGAAAGGAGCCAATCTGAAAAGGCTGCATATATGATTCCAACTGTGTGACGTCTGCAAAAGTCAAAACTATGGAGACAATAAAATGAGCAGTGGTTGCCAGGGTTTAGGATGCAGAAGGGGATGAATAGGTAGATGTTTAGGGCAGTGGAACCATTCTGTATGGTACCATAGTGATGAACACACATTATTATACCTCTGTCCAAACCCACAGAATGTACACACCAAGAGTGAACCTTAATGGAAACTATGGACTTTGAGTGATAATGATGCATCAATGTTGGTTCATCAATTGTAACACAGGTACCCCTCTGGTACCTCTGGGGGGATGTTGATAATGGGGGAGGCTCTGCATGTGTGAGGGTAGGGATAATGGGAAATCTCTGTACTTTACACTCAATTTTGCTGTGAACCTAAAACTTCTCTAAAAAATAAAGTCTATTTAAAAAAAAAAAGACAATTAGGAGACAGTTTCAAAGAATCCTGCTTTTATGATCTTCACGAGAGACACACTTGGGATATAAGAACACAGAAAAGTTGAAAGTAACAGGAAGGAAAAAATATACTAAGTAAATATTAATAAAAGAAAGTTGATGTAGCTCTGTTAATATCACATAAATTAGACTGTAAGGCAAAAAGCATTATTATGAGAGAAAGATAGTTACCATACAATGATTAAAAGAACAATTCACCAAGAAGCTCAAACAAGCCCTAAAGCTGCATACACCTAACAAAATAGCCTCAAAATATATAAAGTATAAGCTTACTGTACTTCAATAACTAAATCCACAGTTTTACTTGAGGAATATTTTTTAGCATAATTCTCATATCACATGCTAGACCATGCAGTTAAAAAATTACTAAGGGTATGCATGATTTGACAAGACAATAAGCAAACTTGATAGCATGGGTATCTGGAATTGTGCTCCCCCAAATGAAAAGATCCTCATTCTTTTCCAGCACATTTGGAATATATTTAAATATTAACCACATATTAGGTCACATAGCAAGGGTCAACAAATACCAAGATTAAATATCAAGAATATACATACCAAGTTCTTATTTACAGTGCAAAAAATAAATCAATAAATAACAAAAACACAGAAAAAATAATTTTAAAAAATTAGGAAATTAAAAATTTAAAATATTTCTTAGGTTGAAGAAAAAGTAATGGACAGTAAAAGTAGATATCAAAATTTATATAATGAGGCTAAACTGGTCCTAAGAGTGAAATTCAGATCATTTTATGTGTATATTAGAAAATTCAAAAGTCAATTAATAAGCTAATTATCTAACTCAAGAAGTTAGAAAAATAAAAAGAAATTAAACCCAAATAAAGGAGGAAAAAATGATAAAAGCAGAAATTGATTAAATATAAATCAGAAAATAGAGACACAACAAAATAAAAATCTATTTCTTTTAATAAAATAGACTAACCTCTAGAAAAATTGCTCAAGAAAAAAACAGAATATAAAAATAAATAATGCTAGAAATGAAGAGAAGGCACAACTATTGGTGCAGTAGAATTTTAAAGAGAAGTCCCTGAATTACTTTATGCCAATATATTTGAAAAAAATGTTTTATGAAAATAGAATTTAATAAAAATGACTCAATTAGAAATAGAAAACCCAAAAGACCTATAATGATTAGGCATAAAAACCAACTCTTTAAAACATCTATCCTAACTAACAGGTATAACATCTGGACCAGACTATGTTCCAAGCATAATCTTTCAAACCATCAAAGAACATATAACCCTATTTCATATAAACTGTTCTGGAGAAGAGGGAAAAATAAATAAATAAATAAATCAAAGAATGCAAGGATATTTTAAAATTAAAAAATCTGTGAATGTTATTCACCACATTAACAGATTTAAAAAGGAAAAAAAGATTTGATCATCTCACAAATATGAGAAGGCATTTGATAAAATTCAACACCCATTCATAATTTTAAAAAAACACACTTTGGCAAACTAAGAATAGAAAAGAGATCCTTAATCTGATAAAGTATATCTACAAAATATCTAAATTTAGCATTCTATTTAACAATGAAAGAGACTCTTTCTCTTTAAATTTAGAAACAAAATAAAGATGCCCACTATCATTACTGCTATCCAGCACTGTGTTGGAGGACCCAATAATATATTAAAAAATGAATAAATAAAACACACCCATTGGAAAGAAAGAAATAAAACTGCTAGTTTTCATAGCAAACCAAGCTATAGGATACCTGAAAATAACTCTAACGAAAGGGACATAGAAACTTTATGAACAAAATTATAACACCCTATTGAAGGACGTAAAAGAAGACATGAGTAAACAAAGAGAAGTATGATGTTGGAAGGTGGGAAGAGTTCAATATAATAAAGATGACAATTCTCCGAAAATTGTTCTATCGATTAATGCAGTCTCAGTCAAAATCTCAATAAGGTTTGTCAATGGATCTGACTAATATATTGTAAAATTCATATGAAAGAATGAAACTCCAAGATTAGCCAAGGCAATTTGGACCAAGAAAGGGAAGAGGAATAGTGAGACTCATTCTATCCAGATATGCAAAGACAGTGGTTGATAAATGTCGCAAGACTGTAGAGTTCAGTAAAAGGCAGAGCTAGGATTAAACCCAGGGTCATATTGCTACCAAGTACACACTCTTACTTTCACACCATGCTCCTTGAGGAGATTTAAGTCATAATTTAAAGCCATCTAGGATTTGATAAAATGGACAGTGTGCGTGTACAAAACAAGGATAAGGAAGTTATTTATAAGAAAGACCAAGCTGATCGATTTGGCTGTTGACCAGATTAAACCTATGTTATGAATAATTATCCAGAAGTGTAGAGTTCTAAAAGTCTTTAAACAATGGTGTATACTTTCTATTATCTATAAAGACACAGAATAAGGATAAAAAATACAATGGGCATGTTAAAAAGAATATATATATATGTAACTCTTAAAGCAAGGTTAAGAACTTTTTATATACATTGGAAAAAATATATAAAATACTTATTTGGAAGAATGTAGGTTGTTTATCATTTCATGAGTGATACTGAGAATTATAGTAAATATCTGAAGAAAAGCATGTCATTACATTGAACTTATTTTATTAATGGATAACGAGGACATGGGATTGCACTGCTCAAGACACCTGAGTTGACTTCCGTCTGAATTTTTGTTAGTCACCTGAAAGTAGAATGGGCACATATTTAAGCTTTCCATTCATCTGGTTTCCGCCAACTGGTTTTGAAGATCTGCTAAACATCTGACACTATAATACTCTGAGACTATTAAAAGAAATATAATTCATAGACCCTACTTACTCTCAAATTCCTTATATTTTAGTTAAAGAGATGTGGTCCAAGCACAATTAAAAAGGAATTAAAGAATGAGCAAAGTGAATCTGACAATAAATTTTATGACAGAGATACACAAACAGAAATGTAAGCAGGGAAGAATTTAATACATTCTCTTTTAGTGTTGGAGTCCTGATATTAAACATGTTTGCCCATTTTTATGTTACTGGAAAATAACTTCTCTAGCGCTTCAGAGATCAGATACTGTTACTGGAAGGGCCTTCGGTTCACTTTGAGAAAGTAGATGGGGATCTGGGGTCTACTAGGTGGGTAGGATTCAACTGAAAGAACAGAGGGAATGCAGGGGGAAAGTGTCCCAATCTATGAGTTTAAAAAATAGTAGGATTTGATTTCCTGTAGCTTCATATAGTGGAGTTAACTGGCCACATGATTGCAAAGAGAAGCTGCCTGAGTCAGTATAGTGAGAACAACCAATAATTTGCAGACAATGTAGAGGGTGATGTGACAAAATTAGGGGGTGTAGGAAAGACTAAAAATGCAGGAAATAATGTCATTCTGTATCTGTGTTCCATGGCCTGGCCTATCATCTGTAATTATCCTACTGTGCAAAGGTAAATTCCTGAACATTGGAGGTCCACTTGCTCAAAGGAGCAGGAGGAATTGGATTGCTAAACACGGCAGGTTTGGCAATAGCCCAGCCTGAGATGTAATCAGTTTGCTGACTAGCAGGAGAAGGAGTTTGGTAGGTAGGCACCGACAGTTTAATTCTTTTGTATCTTTTCTTGTTGCTCTTTATGTTCCTAAAAGAAAATGTGATTGTCATAATCTTGTTTGGTGCAGCATCTGAAGTTGGACGTTTTGGAGGGTGAGGAACACTGGGTTTGTGCCGATAGGTCTTTGGGTTGTTTCATAGCTTGGGCTAGGATTTCTTTTTTTTTTTTTTTTTTTAAAGATTTTATTTATTCATTTTTTTCCCCCCAAAGCCCCAGCAGATAGTTGTATGTCATAGGTTCACATCCTTCTAGTTGCTGTACGTGGGACTCGGCCTCGCGCTGGACGGAGAAGCGGTGCCTTGGGGCGCGCCCGGGATCCGAACCCGGGCCGCCAGCATCAGAGCGCACGCACTTAACCGCTAAGCCACGGAGCCGGCCCTGGGCTAGGATTTCCCTAATAGCTGTATGACTCGGAAAGCTGTGTCCTCAGGGCTGAGGAAGAGTCAAACAGACATAACGGATTCATTTCAAATACATCATATTCCGTGACGTGCGTCTGTTTTCTTCTATTCTCTTTTGTTGTGTACTCTAATTAAGACACATCCAAAAGTTCTTTCTTGTTCTGTGGGTAGAAATTAGACATAAAAAGAAATCCATTTAAGAACTCATACGTGAGATACTTGATATATTTTTTTTGAGTTATAGCTTATACCCCGGAAGCTTTTGAAAAGATTTGAGCATATGATAGCGACAAAATATTTGACACAGAATAATTAAAATAAAAAAATGAAAGGAGATTAGTCATCAAGGGAAAGAGAAAAAAGGAAGTACCATTTACCTCTAACATGGAATTCTTTAGCTACTAAGGGAGCTTGCTAAGGAAGCTCAGAGAAATAATTTGCTGACAGTAATCGTAATCATAATAGTTAGTGTTTTGGCACTGTAGCATTGTGCTAAGTGCTTTACATGCATTACCTCGTTTAACTCTCACAACAGTTCATTGAGTGAGGTTAATCTATGGAATTTCCCCATTTTGCAGCTAAGGAAACTGAGGCAAAAAGAGATTAAGTCATTTCACATGTTGTCACATAGGTAAGAAGTAGTGGAACTGGGCAGTCTAATTCTAGAACCCAAGTCATTGTCTCCAGTATGACCATTGATGTGAAATGATTTAGTGGACAATAGGATTATATTATTCAACAAAATAAGAGGATTTTGCCTTACATCTCTGGGGCTTCAGTCTTAGAATTTTTTAAATTGCTTCATAGCAAACATAGAGTGAAATGTTAGCTACCATTTCTCCACAACTCCAACTATGTCTTGGCATCGTAGGGATTTGTCTGACTTACCATATATGTTGTTGTCTATTGGAAAGAAAATATAATGTCTTAGGAAACTTCTTAAATCTTCCCCTACCTCTTTGATTCTAATATTCCAGGAAATTATTCTAAATAATGAGTGCATTGTATAGGACACTGGCCATCATTTTTTGTAATGTCCTTTTTATTATCATGAAACCTGAGGGTAGGGAGTTTTATCACTGAGGGTAGGGAGTTTTATCTAATTTGAGGGACACATGTGGCTATAAGATCTTGAGCAGAATTGGGAAGGAAGGGACTCTTACTGTTGGCTGTATTTTCCTATTTTCTCTTCTCTGGAAACCCCATAAGAAGGCATTTTCCCTCAAAAGATTACTCCTCAACCCCACTCCTGCCAAACTTCCAACTACATTTCTAATCTACACAGAGAGAGAAGAGGGAACTAATAATAACAAAGTAAGACCCATTGTCTTTCAGTGAAGGGCTGTGGCCTCAGTCACTCCTCCAAGGTGGCAGAACCTAGAACTTTCTGTTGCCTGCAGCTCAGCGTTGGCCTCTCTCTGACTCTACTGCTCTCCATGTACCAGGTGACTTTGATGATGAACACTGTGACCTTAGGGGGTGTAATCGTTCATCATTTCATTGTGAATCATAGGAAATGACAAAATATTTGGGGGTCATATTCTTTCAAAAAATGATGACAGATGCCAGGTCAATGTTGGAATAACAAATGGTTCAGATAGTTAGTGAGTGAATGCGTTTTCAGCTGGAAGCTGGGGTGGAAGATGTGGGGAGGGGGTGTGGCAGGAAGAAGAGAGGGAAGCAAGAAGATATTACTTTCCCTTTAGGAACCCGCAATCCTGTTTAATTCATAAACTGCAGGACTCAGTGTCTAGGATATGGCCAAGCTCATGTTAACTATTAAGTAAAGTTTGCTCAAAAAATTAATTTAACTCTTACGTATTTTTTGTCTTCAGCTTCTAGGATTATAAAAGACCCTAGGGGCTCTTTCCACTGCCTATCCTTCTGCTTTTACATAGGGCTGTACATCACCAGAATTCTTTGGAATTTTCCACCCAAGTACTTGTAATGGCTGTATATGAACAGCAGACCCCAAACATGCGGTGTGTCAGTCTGTGTCTTGTTCAAAGTAGTTTAGCACAAGGGAAAAAGTCTTTGAGGCCTCATGTTTTATCCTAAAAACAAAAGCAAATTTTGTTCTCTTCTCCTTAGTGTGCGTGTGTGTGTGTGATATGAAAATAATCTCTTCCTCCTAAAAAATATCAGGTTAAATTGATGTTCCCAAAATATTTGCCATGCTTATGCATTGGCTTCTAGAACACTACACTGCTCTGTACCTATATTGCAGTTTGAAAAGACTATCCCAAGCCGTCCTGGACAAATTTTTTTCTCTAGTAATGAAGAGGCAATTACATTTATTGTCTAATCGTTTGATAGTCTTAAGTTCAGACACCTTAATATACCATTTGAATTCTGAAAACCAATACATAGATCATTCCAAACTGTTAGTAAGTACTGAGATGAAATGATATTTTTCACTTGAAGGATATTTTTTCTTCTTTATCCTGTAAGTCTAATCTCTAAAATCCTGCTCAGCCAGTTCAGCCAGTCTGACGTGTACACTAGATAAGGCTCCACGGAAGGCAAGTTTCTCTGGCCACCCTCTCTGGATGTCCATGGTCACCTTACCCAGGTATTTGAGGCCTCTTCGGAGAAGTCCCGTCATCACAAGTTTGTGCAGTACAGATCTGTGCCTTGGCTTGACATCTTTGTGATAGCAGCACTCTTCTAATTGTCAGGGAAAAGGTTGGTAAACTCATTTGCAACAATTAGCTGCTAATCAGAAAGTAGTTAATATTAATGTGTTATTCTGTTCCAGGATTTTTTTTTCTTCCCTTGGGATTTCTCTGAGGGTTTCTCAGAGGCCTGATTGTCCTCCTCTTGTTGATTCTTCAGTCACCAGCTCTGTCATCTTGCCCGAAGAGGTAGAACAAGAGGCAAGGGAGTACTTTTTCACAGGTCTGACAAAACAACATTCAGAGCCCCTCTCTGGGTATTGAGCCAAGTGTCATCATCTGCTTTCAGCTCTTAGTTCTTGGTGTGGGAAGGAGGAAGCTGACCCAGGAATTCAGCTGGGGCTCATGAGAAGTCATGCTCTATCACCTTATCCACCCACCTGCAGTGAGAAAGCTCTCTTTGTAATACAGGCATCAGCAATGGAACCACTTCCAGGATGGTGGCCATCCTAAGGGGTGGAAATGGGCATTCCCTCTTGGGACGTTTAGGCAGCCCACTATGGGTAAAAAAAAAATTGTCATATGTAGAGAGCTCTACAGTTGACAAAGTGCTATTTTACTGTTTCACTTGATTATCATAATAGCTCAACGAAGTATGTCTACAAAGGAATAATGGGCACCATTAGCGTTAACTACATATTTGAGAAGTAAAGAGGGAGGTCTAGTAGACATCTACTATTTCATCCTGAAATGTCCCCACTATTGTTTGTGTCATGTCCATGCATTCAGGGTTCTCAGTCTGGTCATTGGTCTTGGGAAGTGTTTTTTGTTTATATTAGATTAATTGATCTCTCTAGAACTCTGCTGTAGTGGAGGCTTAGGAGAGCTGCCTTCAAGCCCACAAAGATGTGTGCCTCTACTCCTGCCTTCTGGAGTTCAGTTCCACCTCTGATTGAGGCAGGGGTCTTAGGGGTGAGCAAAAGGATACCAAAGGTTCTTGAACTTTTTCACTCTACCAGATCTCTTCTCACATGGAAAGACAAATCACTAGTTAACTCTCAAATTCTGAAAACTAGCACGTCTCTTTTAAACCAGACCAGATCTTTCTTTGGCTATGGTCCCACACTTCACACAGTGTCCAGCCTGCCATATGCTGGGTTGTGTCACTGTTTAGCAAAAGAGGATGCTGAATGGATCTGGTTGTTTGGAACATTTCACTGACTTGGCCCTGGGCACTACGCTGGCTTCCCATCTGCTTCTGAGTACAGCTCTTGGATCTGATTCTAATTCTGAAAGTAGGAGATGGTCTGAGACCCGCCCTCACTGGGCCCTGACTCAGCATTATGTGCCCAGAGCTTCGTTCTTGTTGGGGAGTTTTCATTCAGTTCAGTCGAACTCAACTCAATACATTAGGCATTTTGAGCAATATGAGAAGAATTATGTTCTGGTTGTTAGTGGACTTAGAGTTAGGAGAACACTATTACAAACAAAGCTATATAAATCCTAGATATTGTTTCTTTTTCCCCTCTAGATCTCTCCACCCTCTTTCACCTTGCCCTTGGCCCCAGAGGCTGACTAATGGAACTCATTAATGGGCTTCTGTGTTCTCAAGCTTACAATTGGGTTTGACCTCCGTACAATAGAGATAACCTCAGTGGATATAGGAAAGTGATATCAGGTTATTTATTGTACTGGACACCTGTCTGAGCTTGCTTTAGGATGGCTGAGTCCCTTCACTGAAGGTCCTTTTTCCTCTCAAGGCAACCTTCATTGCAGCCCTATCCTATTAGCTTCTGGTAACACTCTTTATCCTCATCCTTTGCTGCCTAGGAGTGGTAACAGTTCTTCAATTGTTACTAGCCTTGAGACACTATACTATAATCTGTGGTTTCTCTACATCCCATCCACATGGTCTCATTATAAATAAGCTCCCCTTGGGGCTGGTCCAGTGGCATAGTGGTTAAGTTTGCATGCTCCACTTGGCAGCCTGGGGTTTGCAGGTTTGGATCCCATGCCCAGACCTACATACTGCTCATCAAGCCATGCTGTGGCAGGCGTCCCACATATAAAGTAGAGGAAGATGGGCATGAATGTTAGCCCAGGGTCAATCTTCCTCAGTAAAAAGAGGAGGATTGGCAACAGCTGTTAGCTCAGGGCTAATCTTCCTCACCAAAATAAATAAATTAATTAATCAATTAATTAATTAAACAGATAAACTCTACTTGAATTATCCTAATTGGATTGTGCCTTCTGTTTTCTGTTGCCACTCTGACAGATACATTGTGTGATTTTGGGCAAGTCACTTCATAGGACTAGGTACCTCAAATGTAATATGAGAGGTTTAAAGCAGATAATATCCCTTCTAACTCTAAATTTGCTTGGCAATATAGGGACTGAAAAATAAATCTCTTCCTTGGGAGCTTCAGGTCTCTTGGAAGAGATAATCTATATACCTGTGAAACGCAGAATAGAACTGAGTATCCAAGAGATTAAGATGCATAATGAGGGCTCTAAGAAATGGGCAAGGTCAGTGTGAACTGAATGGTCAAACGAAACATATGGATCTGCCAATAAATTCTGTCCCAACACCACAGAACCATTTGTTGGTGGATTTTCTAATCCGAAAAGATGAATACAAGATGAATATTATATTCAAGGCTGTACAAAGTGGAAAGCCTGTCTTGGAGCTATTTGAAAGAGCCCACACAATATTGGTTAATCTTAGACAAGGCCTCCTGGAAATGATTTACTCAAGAATCAGCCACATCCCACAATAAAATATAAAATTTCTAGGATTTCTTGAATTGAAATATTCTTTTTTAAAAAAGTGTAGAAAAAGCAGAGGATTTGGAGTTGAGAGGCTGGAGATCTAATCTTAATTGGCGTTAATTAGCTGTACCTTAAATGTCTTTTAATCTGAAAATAATTCTATCTTTTATTTTGTTTGCTATATGCTGCTTTTGTTTTTTTCTTTGATTCAGAGATATTAAAGACATATACACCAATATAAGCATAAAATAATAATCACCCTCATATCCACCAAACAGGTTAAAAAATAAAATATTGCCAATATAATTGAAGTCCACAGTGTATCCTTCCCCAATTGGATACTTCTTTTTTCTCACTAAAGGTAATTCCTGCTTCTTCTCTCCCCCTACCCACCCCAATCTAGAGCCAAGGCCAAAATGGACAAATTGCTCTGCCAATTCCCTTTGTGTAGGGAAGCCTCACTTTCACTGAGAGTATAGGGCTACACTATAGCCCTCTGAGGGTCTTAGGTTTATGTGAACCCTGCTTGCTTAGGCCCAGGCCTTTCTCCCGTGTATCTGTAAAGACTTAGAGCCCTAAGGTTTTGTATCAGTAAATGTCCTCATGACATCCAAGTCTTCAGGGCTGGCTTAGTCTACTGGATTTCATCTGCACTTTGGTTTGGTTTTAACCGTTGGAGATTTTCCTCATTTTCTTACTAGCTCAGTTGTGCATTTTTTAAATAAAATATTTTAGAAATATATTTTCATGTACTTCTCTAGGAGTAAAACACTTTTAAAAAATCCAGTTTATCATCTTGTAAAGTACAGAAACAAGGAACTCAGACTCAAAGACCACTCATAGTGAAAGTTTGAAAACTCTTCTCCCACCTCATAGGCCGGATGACTATTGCCTAAAGTAATTATAAAAATAGAAAAATTTTTACAGCCAAGAAGCTAATTCAGCTAACCCAAATCTGCTGCAATTCAAGTACATTGACAGTTAGAAATGAATAATGGAAAGTAAATGATAGTCTCTGGCAGTATTCTCTAAAACTTTTCATTTAAAGTTCCTTAAAGGCAAGGACCATTCTTTTAAACACATTTGAGTTTATTGGAGCCAGAGATTGTCTTATTTATTTCTACATCTCTCATGATGTTTAACACATTTCCTTTCACATTGCAGGTGTTCAATATGTATTTGCTGATTTGATTTGAACTGACTCTTCCAAGTTCAATGCAAAAACAAAATGGCCCTAATATTGCCCCTTGTTTTGCCTGTTCTGACACTCAAATTGAGCCAGCTCACAGCGATCCCTTCCCTATGTTGCACAGAATTTATGACTTTCATAATCTAATCTTGAACTCATTCACTTGCAAAGTATTTGCTTGGCTTGTATAAAATAAATAACTTTAAACTAGGGAGTTGTTTTTTAATTGTTTGCAATCTCCTGTGGTCTGGCGTTAACTCCCAGATCAAACATAAACTCTAATAAGTGTAATACAATAAATGGCGGGATTTATTATGATTACTTTTTGTTTTGTTTTGTTCTCGTCTCAACCTGGAATCACTAGAAAATGACTGGTTGTCATGGGAAATCATCCCACCCCTCATTATTTCTTTTTTCCTGAAGAGACCAAAAGTGAGTAAGAACGTGGAATGCATATTTGATCACAATCTGAACAGTTCCTACCAGAAGACGATACAAACAATCTGGTACAATAAAAAGGCTTTTCAAAAAAAAAGAATTTCCTTAAGAAGTAAAACAATTGTTTGAGATGTGTTTGTCTCTGTGTGGGCTCTAAATAGCGTGCTTCCAAGTCTAAATAATATCAAGGCCTTTTGGTATTGGGGGAATCTTTGAGGTAAGATCCTGAGAGACTAGATACTTGAAGCAAAGACTGGCAAAAAGAAGATAATTGAGGAAGGAGAGATGTGAGGCATCAAGGCTGAATCAAGAAATGCATGTGTCCTGGGGGGGAGCAGATTGAGGAAGGTATGTGATTGGAAGAGGGTCATCACCAAGAGCGAGCAGCAAAGGAGCATGTTGCGACTGTCATTTTCCCACTCACGGTTCCCATGACTTCCACAGCCAACTTTTAGAGTCCTTTACTTCTCTTAAAGTGGTTACACAACTCTGTGAGGATACAGGAAGAAGTGAGAAAGAAGAGGAGGACAGAGTCTGTCCAAGTACCCCAAAAATGGGACTACTGAGTTTCTGAGAATTTATTGTAAAAAGAAAAACAGAAGAGGTTCCTGTTTTAGTATAATTTATGAGAGGAAACTCAGAAATACATACCAATAGGAGAATTGTTGAAGTATGTGTTAGCATACACAATATAATGCAATCATTTAAACAATGTTTGAAGACTACGTAATAGTGTGGAAAAACATTGATGATATAATCCAATGTGTTTGGTACACACTGATCAAACTATGTAAAATATGAATGCATATGGACATATACTGAAAGGATATATGGGTAAATGGATAGTTTTCTCTAGCGTAGCTCTCTTAGAGTAGGAAAATTGCATACTTTCTTTAAACTATCACTTAATGTTATCATGTTTGCTTTGTGGCCAATAAAAACAACATATGTATGCTTGGGTGTGGAAGAGAGGATGGAGTGAAGTTAATGCAAGGCCACCCATCCCTGAATAAGACTGTTGGTATCATTGTTCCCAAAATTTTCTTTGCAGTCTTCTTCTTCTTTTTCTTTCTTTTTTTTTTTTTGCTGAGGAAGATTTGCCCTGATCTAACATCTGTTGTCAATCTTCCTCTTTTTGCTTGAGGAAGATTCGCCCTGAGCTAACATCTGTGCCAATCTTCCTCTATTTTGTATGTAGGTCACCACCACAGCATGGCTGCTAATGAGTGGTGTAGGTCCATGCCCAGGAACCAAACCTGGGCCGCCGACGTGGAGCACACCAAAATTAACCACTAGGCCGTGGGGCTGGCCCTCACAGTCTTCTTTTATACCCACTACTACCTGGTGCAGGGCACACACTAGGTGCTCATTAAATACTTACTAAACTAGTGTTCAATTAATGCATTTGAGTGCCATTGCATAATTTTTTCATTTCACAAACAGCAAGACCCATTATCCATTTTAGGTACAATGTAGAGTGATGGGTTTTTCATTTGAAAGTAAGATAAATGCTATAGAGTCATGTGTCGCTTAATGACAAGGATATGTTTTGAGAAAGGCATCATTAGGCAATTTTGTCATGTGAGCATCATAGACTATATTAAAGGGGAACAAAATTTGCCACCCCAAGATGCGTCTCTTTAACATGAGGATTATTTTAGGATGATTATTTTTAAGAAACAAAGACTCAGGGAGTTTTTTTTTATTACCTCTCTCTTGATCACCTAAAAGAATCAAGATTAAACCTGTCTCAGGAAGCGAGCTATCACTTTAGCATGACATGAACTAGCTGGTAGACAGGGAGGAACCTAGAAATGCCTGTTTGTTGGGCTCCCCTCTGTGTTCTTCTGTTTCTGTGTGGCCAAACACTTGTTTTCCAAATATTTGTTCCTTTTTGCCTACCTGTGAATTGCCTTCATTCCTTTCACTCCCAACATCTTCTTTCTCTTTAGCTGACGATGGTATTTAGAGTGTGTGACGGCTTTCGCCATTTTGTCAAGTTACTCAGTTTTTCAGAGTTTTTTCCATGTATACATGTTATTAAACTTTTGTTTGTTTTTCTCCTGTTAATCTGTCTCATGTCAATTTAATTCTTAGAACAACCAGAAGAACTTAGGAGGATAGAGGATAATTTCTTCCTCCCCTATGGTACTTACACAAACCCAGATGGTATAGCCTACTATATGCCTAGGCTGTATGGTACTAATCTTATGGGACCACTCATATATGCGGTTTTTCATTGGCTAAAATGTTGTTGTGCAGTGCTTGACTGTATATATATTTGGTGTAAACAATACCATTATAAGAAATAGTGCTTCATAATAAATATGTACTTTGGGGTGAGTGTTTTGGGAATGTTTGTATGGCATGTAATATGTGTGTGTTCTTGGATTTATAATGCAAAATAACATGTAGCATTAAGGTGTTGCTGTTCTGAATCTTCTTAGGGCCAATAGTAATACTTATGTTCTAGTTTTTAGAAACCAGTCTGTATGTGTGCACCATTAGACATAGATTATTATCTTAGCTCTGCTGTGAGTTTAGAAAACAAGAGAGGTGCTGTTCTCTCCATATCCACATCTCAAACCCCAAGGCTGGAGGAAGAAAAAGGGGGATTGGAAGGAAGACCAAAGGAATAAATAATCTCCATGCCTCAAACATTTCTTTGATAAGAAAAGATCCAGCTGTTGGCAAGAAGTGGTGTTTTGTGAGGGCATCATAGAATCAAAGGCTTATATTTCAAGATGTTCTTTCTGTAGCACAAACATGATTAAGGGTAATGTTGTGTTATTTCAGATTTTCATTATTCATAAAAGGAAATCCAATACTGCCAGACATGCAAGAACAACCTAAAGAGGCTTCAGAGGCCTTCTGGCTCTCAAATCTAAGAGAAT